ACTGTGGACCAATCTTATACATAGAGACTCTGAAATCATGTTAAAAATATATATATAAACAAACCAAATCTAACAAGTAATTAAAACAGTAATGAAATAGTTTATTCTTGAAATATGTTAGGTTGGTGCAAACATAATGGCAGTTTCAGACCATGAATTTTAAATCATTATAACTAGGCTCAAACATATCTTTATTAACCAAAATAGGAACCATTACAATCAATACATTTTTGCCAATGAGAAATAAGTTTGCTTATTCCTGTAGCATAAAATCTGTGCTTCGGGATTTAACTAACTCTTGAAAAGCATTTTCTGCCTCCTGCTGGGTAGGGAAGCACTTTCCCTGCAAAGTTGTCAAGATGCTTGAAGAAGTGGTAATCTGTGGCAAGAGGTCAGGTGAATATGGCGGGTGAGGCAAAACTTCGCAGCCCAACTTCTGAAGCACTGGTCGTGCAACACGTGTTCAGGCATTGTCACAGAGAAGAACTGGGCCCTTTCTGTCGACCAGTGCCAGCTGCAGGCACTGCAGTTTTCAGTGCAACTCATCAATCTGCTGAGCATACTTTTCAAATGTAATGGTTTTGCCAGGATTCAGAAAGCTTTAGTGGATCAGACCAGCAGCAGACCACCAAATAGTGACCATTACATTTTTCTGCAAGTTTGGCTCTGGGAAGTGCTTTGGAGCTTCTTCTCGGTCCAACCACTGAGTCACTGCAGATTGTCATATAAAATCCACTTTTTGTCGCATGTCACAGTCTGATCAAGAAATGGTTTGCTGTTGTTGCGTAGAATAAGAGGAGACAACACTTGGAAACCATTTTTTTGACTTTCAGTCAGCTCATGAGGCACCCACTATCAAGCTTCTTCACCTTTCCAATTTGCTTCTAACGCCAAATGACTGTAGAATGACCAGGGTTCAGTTCTTCAGCAACTTCTCAAGTAGTTGAAAGAGGATCAGCTTCAATGATGCTCTCAGTTCATTGCTGTCAACTTCTGATGACCAGCCACCATGCTCATCTTCAAGGTTCTCATCTCCTTTGCAAAACTTCTCGAACCACCACTGCACTGTATGTTCATAGCAATTCATCGGCCAAATGCATTGCTGATGTTGCAAGATGTCTCTGCTACTTAACAACCCATTTTGAACTCAAATAAGAAAATGGCTCAAATTTGCTTTTTGTCTAACATTATTTCCATAGTCTAAAATAAATATAAAGTAAACAGCAAGTAATGTCATCAGCAAAAAAACACAGAGAGAAATACACATTAAAGTGACGTATAACATAACCACATTTAGTTAGAATGTATCCCAATATCAAATGGCAAATTTCAACAATGCAAAAACTGCAATTACTTTTGCACCAACCTAATAGGAATGATTTAGCACAGAAAAACTATAAAGGCAATTAATCATATTCATAAATTAAAAGAACAAAACCTATAAGATTTTATCACTAGATCTCTTGAAAAAGCATTTGGTAATTTCAGCTGTGATTCCTAAAAATCATAAGGAAATGGAAATAAAAACTGGTGAAATAACAAAGACATTTCCATTAAAAATAGAAACAAGGAAGCCTACTATTCAGTTTTTCAACACTGATTTTGAGAGTCTAGCTAGTACAATAAGATAAGAAAAATAAAAGTAATATAAATATTGGAAAATAGGTAAATTATGATTACTTCAAATACTATGATTTATATTGTGACAATAAATGTGGATTTAAAACAATAGTTAGCATTAATAAAAGACCTCAGTAATGGGAAGCAATAGAGAATAAGTAAATGTTTAAACCCATGTGCATGCTCAGTCACTTCAATTGTATCTGATTCTTTGCAACTCCATGGACTGTAGCCTGCCAGACTCCTCTCTCCATGAGATTCCCCAGGCAAAAAACTGATAGCTTTCCTTTATATTATCATGAAGAGGTTTAAAAAAATGTTAATAGAAAGAGTCCCATTCACAAGGATGTTTAACAAATAAGGTTTAATCTTTGATTTAGCACTAAATTTTTTGCCTGAGACATGAGTACAGATTTTAAAATGTTTTTAATCTTTGAAGAATAAAAATCCTATCACAAAATAGTTCACCCTATCTACTCTACCTCAGTGTGTAATCACAAGGTTATATAAAGCTAAAATTAATCACAAAAACCTGAAGATTTGAAGGTTGGTATTTCAACACTGAACCAGCTCATTTGGATATTAAGCACAAGTGTTAAAACATAATATAATCTATGGATAAAATGCTAAAAATCTTTTTACATTGTAATAATTATGCTGCTAGAGAACAATGGTATTAAACTATCATTACCAGAACTGAAAATTATTTAGTTTCTATCTATAATACTTTCAACATATTTGATTAACTCTGAAGTCCCTTCCACTTCAAATAAAAAAAATAGTGTACCGGATTCAATGTTTTAGTTTGTAAATTAATAAATATTGACAAATGTGGGGGAAAGAAGCACAGAGCAGGCAGAGTACTTGGTTTAAAATATCTGAAAAGAGAGATCTGTTACTGGATAGTTTTATCAAAATCCTTTCTAACTAAAAAGACCCTTCATCACAGGAAATCAGAAAGAGGCATATATTACCACTGCAGCATTAATCTTGGGAAAATTCAGATTCAGTATTACTTTAGCATTGAACCAAACCAGGCTACGTGCACAATAAATAAAATGCCTTAAAACCATATGGGTCCTTTATTTCAGGAATAAGCACTCACTTGAAAAGTTAAAGTAGGAAAAACAATATTACTTAAAATGAATTAAGTGCCACAATCAACAATAAAAATTTGGAATTTGCAAGTAGAAGAATGTATTTTCCAATTAAGAGATTATGAAGGATTGGTTTCTTCACATACACTTACATACACACAAAGAAATTTCTCTAAAGCTTTATATAGAGTTAACTATTAGCTAATGAAGATGGGAAGATAATTAAAAATCTCAACCTCTAAATATAATTCCAAAATTAACTTGTCAGATTAATTCATTGGATAGAGAGGTGTGGACTAGGTATTTATCATTGTGAGACAACAAAAAATATGCACTGGAAAAGGACATTTTAAACATTATATCTGAAATGTAATATGCATTATGTGACTGAGAACTAATTAATTATACTTAACACATTTAACACACAGAAAAATTCAAAACAATTATACCCTTGAACAACTTGAGTTTTAAAATTCCCCTCACTATTCCCTTAAGTTGATTTCCACTCCCGTGTTCTTTTCCAATTCTAAAAAAAGAGAATAAAGAAATTTCCCAAATAAGCCCTACTTATTTAGAATAGAAATGGAAGAGAAGGGATGTATTAGTTCTTGAATTCTTGTTTCCATTTGCTCTCAAATGTGCTTCTAATGTTCAATTTTCTCTTCAAAGAAAATCGTGATTTACAAAAACAAAAAATACAACCATACAATATACAAGTATATTATTCAGTTCTTACTAAAGTCACCAAAGATTTAAACTCAGAAAAAAAATTTTTTAATCTTTATTCTAGGTTATGTAATGCCATTCACCATAGTAATGATCTGATACTTTGGTATAAGACTTTTTAAAATAAATATTGCCAACAGGTAGAAAATTTTCCTTGGCTGTCTTAAGACAGCCCTTGAGGGAGTTTTTAGCAGTGTATTGGCTCATAACTTGAGTGGTGATTTCAATAAATGTCACTTCTATCACTTAATGATAATCTTATTGAGGGTAATTTAACTGGGAAAAGAAAATGCCATGTTGCTTCTTCCTCCCAAGAAAAAGGGGTGCATTCCATTCTGGAGGTATCTACCTACCATCTAACTGTCTACCTATCTATCTCTGCATATATATGTACATAGATACAAATTGATATAGATACAGCTATATATACACACATATGTATACATGTCCAACAAATGTTTGACTTTGAGATCTCTCTTCCTCTTTCTTCTGATTCATTATTCTCAGTGTGACCCTCAAACTGTACTGCCTTTCACGTTTATTCATTTATCAATAAATAATTGAGTGTCTGTATCGAGTACCTTCTGCACGCTCAGTTTTATGTCAGATGTAAAAGAAGATACAACATGTATGTATAACTGAATCACTTTGCTGTACACCAGAAACTAACACAACATTGTAAATCAACTGCACTTCAATTCGAAAAAAGAAAAGAAATAAGACAGTCTCTGCCCTCCAGAATTTTTCTATGTATTCCAGGGGCAAGATATAACACAATATATCATTAAGCAATTTATAAGACTACTGCCAAAATCAATGGTACAGATAACATGCAATTTGCATTGATGCACAATTTTAGAGTTTCAAACACTTTCTTGTGTTTAAACCTCAGAACAATATTGTTAAGTACACATTATTAGCCCCACTTTAGCAATGAGGAACTTGACATTCAGAATTTTAAATGACCTGCCTCAATCAATAAGTTATGAGTGGAAGGAAGAATCAAGACTCAAGCCAAGGTTTTCTGGTTCTAAACCTAGTGCTATTTTCAACTACAGCACAGGAAACCAAGGATTGAGGTATTTAACAGGGCAGCAGCCAGCCTTCAGCTAGAGGTGGAATTAAACTAAACTGATAAATATCCAAATTAATTTTATTTTGCAAATATTTGTACTTCAGTGTTAGACACACCACCCAACTACCATTTCCTCAGATTTAGTGCTTTAGGGCTCTCACCTGCTCAGTGAGAGCTTTGCTAGCAGAAACGGGGGTGTCAAATACAATAAAAAGCTGGCCTTTAGGAGGATCATATAAATCTTAAGCCATAAAGATAAATCTTAAAGATCTTGTTTGAACTAATCCTTACACATTTAGTTTCGCCTCAGAGCCAGAGTGTAACTCGTCCCTACCCTTTTCTAGCATTCTTGCTCCAGATAACCACTTATTTTAAGATGTCAATGGCTGACCCTACCCCAAATTCCACAGGCTCATCCCAGTCCTGCCACCGGACCCTAGCCCCTACCCAGACCCCTCCCGCTCCTCCCTAATTTATGATACCTAGGTTCGAGTTCTGCAGGTGCAGTCGCTTGCCATTACACAGCACTGACAGATAAGATGTGACCTTTCGACTCCGTCCTTGGGGAACTCAAGCTGGCCGCGCAGCGTAGTTCCACACCCGAGAAAGGGGCTTCCGGGCTCGGGAACGAAGCCACGGGGAGTACACGGTCCGAAGCGAGGTCTCTGACAACTCGAACGATGCTGAGCGACTGGGCGTGCATCACTCCGCCCCATACTCCTGCCAACTGCAGGAGACTCGGTCCGGCAACCAATCCATCCCAGCTCACGGGCAAGTCCGTGCCAGCCGGACCTTAGGCAGGACCCCGATGACAGGCTGTTGACGGCGGCGGCAGCAAAGCCAAGGCCACCCGCCCCCAGCGCCCATCGCCGCCAACCTAAGAGCCCCCCCCTACACTGGACCGCAGAGAAGCGTTTCTATGGAAACCCCCTAGGGCTCACGTGACGCACCCGGAGGACCAATCGCCTCTTATCTCTGCCGGCGGCACCGCTTTCGGCCCTCCCTCCTGCCCCGCCCCCTCCCGCCCACGCCTCTGTCGCCCCGCCCCGCCCCTTTCCCGCAGAGAGTCCGCACATGCGCGCTGCGTCCATCGCGCTACCGCCCCGGCGCGCCCCGCTGTGGGGCGCGTGGGGGCGGCGTAGGAGGGTCGAGGAAGGCGCGAGCCTGAGGAGGAAGGAGCGCGGCCAGCGCGCAGGCCCAGAACCACGCGAGACGCGGCTGCCGGCTACGCCTCTGAGCGGAAGAGGGAAGTGGAGCCGCCAGTCTGCGGCTTCCAGCTGGGGCTGGGCTTGCTAAGGTCGAGGGAGCGTCGACAGGAGGCCTCGGCCGCCGGTCCGGAGCGGGGATGTCGAAGAACACTGTGTCGTCGGCCCGGTTTCGGAAGGTGGACGTGGATGAGTACGACGAGAACAAGTTCGTGGACGAGGAAGACGGGGGCGACGGGCAGGCCGGGCCCGACGAGGGCGAGGTGGACTCCTGCCTGCGGCAATATCCTTCAGTTCGCTGGCCTCGGCGCCCCACCCGACCCGGCCCCTCTTCCGGGACCCCGCTGCGGGCAGGGCGTGAGGGCGGGGATCCCCGCCTCCGTGGGCTCCCTGTCGTGAGTGGGCAGGAGGGCTTTTCCTTTCTCCCGAGACCCCCGGGTCCCGCCCTCGGAAACTTGCCTTCCCAGCGCGCCGTCCACGCCCCCGACTCCTCAGGTTGCGCCCGGAGTTCTCGCCTCCCGGGGACCTGCGAGGACGGCCGCGCCCTCGCGGCTCTGGTGCTGGTCTGTCGGGCAGCTGCAGAGCGCTTAAGTGGTCCTCAGGTCGTATTTACCGGGTTTTCATTAGTACCCACGTCCGGTCGGGAGGAGCGGGCATTTTTCTTCAGTGATTTTCTTTTTATTGTGGTGGTGGTTTTGTTGTGGCAGCGTTATTTCACGCCGGGAGAGATGGGGCGGCTTGCAGAATTGAGGCCCTTCTGTATGTCTTTTTAAGCCTGTGGGCGCTTTTTTTTTTTTCTTTTCTTTTTTTAAGAGGAAGCGATTTGACAAAATACAGGTTGCACACAGTTGGTTAACCAGGGGAAAGGGAATGAGTACAAAACTGCTCAGAAAGAAGCTGGAAGCGTTTTACCTGCTAGACGGAAAATGCATGTAGAGAATCCCTGGAAATATTTTAAATAAACCCCAAAGAATAACATAGGAGAAGGTGAATCATTTGTACAGAACCGAATCATTTTGTAATGCTGGAATCGTTTCCGTTAAGTTAAAATGTGGCTGTCAGTTCCTGGTGTGGGTTTTGCATATTTGAATATTCATAACTTTGAAGGAGTATTTGCATCAGATCTTTTTTCGGAAAAATGTAAATGTTGCAATAACCAAGGCAGTCGTTTTAGAGATTCTCAATTACTGAATTCGCTCGTTTCTAATTATTCTTGGGTGTATTCATAAGATTAGGAAGGCCCTTTAGACTTTCCTCATCAGTGGCCTATTAAATTAAATGGGGAAATACAGGAATGAAAATATTTGGTAGCAGCCACAGCTGGTCTTACAGGCACCTAAAATACAGCATTAAACATTTATCAACATACAGATGTTTCTTTGATTGCCTTGACTTTCACAATCAGCTGTTGCTGTTTTGCATTATTTAAAATACTGAAGTGATTGGGGTGGAGGGGAGCGGTCTCATAAGTGAGCCAATCTGCAAACGGCATGCTTCTCTAGAAGTCCATTAAGCCTTGAAAATGACAGCCCGCCACCAACCATAGTTTTTTTAGTCAGACCTTTTTCTTTAGAATGTAAGTGGTGAAGATTATTCTGTGTAAAAACATTCTTCGTGATGCATAAGTGATGTTTTGTGAGACTAACTTTTTTTAGGTGACGTGTGATGACTCTTCAGTGGTATTGCTGTATCCGTATAGTGGATCTGCTTTTAAATCAATTCGTCTTGAAACATAAAGATACTGTCTCTTCTTGTTGAAACAAGAAGAGACAAGCCCTGATCAGGCACTACAGATGGAGGAACAAGTGAACTCTGTGAGGTTTTCCTTTTAGGGCAGTGACTGTACATTCTGACAGTGTGATTGGCCTGCTGTTTCTCATTCTTGCTAACTCACTGGTGCTTTCAAAGCAGGACTAAATTTAATAGGTGTGGCCTAAAGCAGTTTGAATGACCTTTATAAAATATGAGAGGAAATATTAAAAAACAGAAAAATTAAGCTGCCACCTACAGGTCATCATTTTATCTTCTGTAATGCTTATCATCAATATTGAGAGATTGCTAATGTATCTCATTCAGATTGGTAGCTAATGTATATCATTCAGATTGCCAGCACTTTTCTACCAGCATTTCAATTAATATAGAATATAATTCTAATTAAAGGATAGGCGGACAGGCTGTTTCATTTGGGGGCCTAAATAATTCTGATACATATTTTAGAATTTTTTAAAATATCACCCTGGATAATGTTTGCACATGTGTTTTACTGGAAGATGAAAGGTTATTAAGGTGTTCAGTTAATAATTAGAGCCAAGGGTGAAACAGTTTTTGCCTTATTTTTTAAAAATTTAATGCTCTCTTTCATTTTCAGTATTTTACCTTTGATTAACATACTTGAAACAAACATGTTGAATTTTCCAGTATTGAACCATAGTAATTTTTCTTTCTATGCATGACATCAAATCTTAAGAACCAGTGGTTCCTGGGAGTTACAGTGCTTTCCTATGGGCTGCCCTTTGCCGCTATCCCCTTAACCTCCATCACAGGGAACATGACAGCTGCCCTACAGGCAGCTCTGAAAAACCCCCCCATCAACACCAAGAGCCAGGCCGTGAAGGTGAGTCACAGACAACACGCGATCTCTGTTGGTACCTCAGTCTTCTTACCAGAACCCTCCAAAGTGTCTTAACTGTTTGCCATCTTTGACACAGAAGAGCTTACAATGTAGTGTGATAGGTGGAAAATCTATATAAGAAATTAGTGCTTCAACATTGAGTTGTGATAACACTTCGTGGTAGGTAAACTTAAGTTCTAATGACGGAGAGATCTGTGTGTTTTTAGAGGAGGCCACTCAGGGTGAATTTGAGCAAAGACTTGAAGAACAAGTGAAACGTTCACAAGATAAACACATGCTACTTGCTTTTGAAAGATTTTTAAAAATTCTACAATTCTCATAGAATTAAATTCTAATATTTAATTCTGTTAAATATTATTGAAAACTCAGAAATGTGGGGGAATAAAAAAGTAATCATAACCCCACACCCATAGATAATTATTACTTTTTGTTGTTGCTATATGCTTACAGTGTTTCTATGAGTTTTTCTTTTAATTAAAATGGAATTTTATAAACTGCTTTTCATCTGTATAGCAGCATATATGAACAGCTTTACTTGGTAATAAGTTTATTTCTATAATATCTTTTTTAACATCTGTATATTGATAATCCTGTAGTTATATATAACCTTTGATCATATATTTATTGACTTTTTTCCTGTCATAAATAGTACTGAAATGAACAATTCTTGGTAAAGTCTGAATTGTTTCCTTTGAACAAATTTCTGGAAGTGAATAGCTGGATTTTAGACTGCACATTTTTTTAAGGCTACTATGGTATTGCCATACTACTCTTCAGAAAAGTAAAATTACATTACCTCTTAACTGTCTTTCAGTAGTTCTTAAGAGCCTATTTACTTAATTGTTTAAAGCCCAGATTAAATTCTGATGTTTAATTCTGTTAACTATTGTAGAAAACTCAGAAATATGGGGGAATAAAAATGTAATCGTCCATAATCCCACACCCAGAGCACTGACCCCCCACTGTCCCTAGCCATTCACGCATCCTAGGAGCCCCAAGTATCTCCTTAGTTAAATACTAGTAAATAATAACTTAGGTAAGTGCATAATTATTATCTAGGCAACATAATCTTTTATAAGAGGAAATATTTCTTTGGTTTTTAAAAGTGAGTAACGTCATTGAAATTTCAGTTTTACCACCTTCTGCTTTTATGTGGGTGTTTTTTTTTTAATCAGAACTTGTGGGTGGGAGGTTATAGCTCTCCATACAAGGATATTTTTCTAAACAGGATAATTGCGTAGTCTTTAAACTGAAGATAGCAACAGGTGGTAGAAGCATACTGTAAGATCATGCCTGGCAGAAATGTGGAAAGTATCACTTTGTGTTGAATAGAAAGAGAAACATTGTTGAAAGGGGAAATTAAGTGTTCCCTGTATTTGGCTTCCTGGGCAGTCTGTCATCAAAGAAAAAGATCATTATAAATGAAGATCACTCTAATATCTATAGTCACTTGACTATAGATAATGAAGTGAAAAATAAGTTTTAGAAACTTAAATTTTTATTTATTAATAACTTATTTCTGAAGAATGCTTCAGGGTAGAACTGTAATTCAGTTTCTTTTTTTTTTTTTGGTCTTTTTTTTAATCAAGTGAAATATATTGATTTAATAAGTTGATAATTTGTTACATCTATCTGTAAGCAAACCCTTTCAGTTCTCCCTTCAAATATATCAAGACTCTGTCTACTTCTGACCACCTCCGCTGCTCCCAAGCTAGCCAAAACTGGTCTGTCTTAGCGAGGTTAACTTCCAAACTGGTCTCCCAGCTTCTGTCTCCTGCTCTCCCCACCCTCCCCGCTCCTGCTGCCCCGGGCTTGTCTTCAACATGACAGCCAATCGGTCCTGTTAAAATGTAAGTCAGATTATATCACTCTTCTTCTTAGAACCTTCCAACATCTTCTCATTTCTGTGACTGGAGGCCAGAGTCCTCATAAGGGCCTGCAGGGTTTACGTGTTCTGTCTTCCGACTACCTCTCTGACTTCCTGCCCTACACTCCGCTCCACCCCCCTCCGTCTTCTTGCTGTTCCTTGGGCATACTGAACACACACTAACAGCAGTTACTCTTTCCTCTGTCTGAAATATTTGCCTCAGATACACCCAAGGTTTCCTCTTCCTTTCTTCAGGTCTTTACCCGAGTGTCACATTCGCAGTGCAGCCGTTCTAAAAACTGAAACTGCCCAACACAAAAATGAGTCTGAATGATCTGTGATTTATTTACCCTCAGGATCGAGCAGGCAGCATTGTCTTGAAGGTGCTCATCTCTTTTAAAGCTAACGATATTGAAAAAGCAGTTCAATCCCTGGACAAGAATGGTGTGGATCTCCTAATGAAGTATATTTATAAAGGCTTTGAGAGCCCCTCTGACAATAGCAGTGCTGTGTTATTGCAGTGGCATGAAAAGGTAAGTTATGGATTACACTTTGTATGACTGGTTCCTTTGTAATGGAAAATAACATTGACAATCTCTAGCATAAATACCTGTTTTGACTCTTTGGTTATCCATTGGTTGTTACTACAAATAAATGCACAGAAATGAAAGTTTAGATTTAGGCTTACTAGCCTTGGTCTTGAGATGCTGATTTGAATTATTTAACGATTGCCAAAAGGTGGAAAAGCCAAGCACCCAGGAACAGACGAACACGTGTGCATGCATGCTCAGCTGCTCTGCTCATTCATGCACAGCTTTGCCACCCCGTGGACTGTAGCCCACCAGGCCCCTCTCCATCAGATTTTTCAGGCAAGAATACTGGAGTGGGTTGCTGTTTTCTCCTCCAGGGGATCAGCCCACATCTCCTGCATTGCAAGTGGATTCTTTACCACTGAGCCATCAGGGATGCCCAAACAGATGAACAGAATCTGACACAGACGTGCAAGGGAATATTATTTGACTAGAAAAAGTTTATATACATGGTACAGCATGAATGAACCTTGAAAACATTAGGCAAAGTAAAATAAACCAGATACAAAAAGACACAAAATACTGTGATTCCACGTATATGAAATATCTAGAATAGGCAGATTCAGAGACAGAAAATGGATTAGAAATTACCAGTGCCTGGGGAGAAGGGAGACTGGAGAGTTATTGCTTAATGGGTACAGAATTTCTGTTTGGAGAGATGGGAAAGTATTGTAAATAGATAGTGGTAATGCCTATACAATATTTGAATGTAAATAATACCACTGAATTTTACATTTAAAGATGGCTGGTGTGGCAAATTTTATGTTACATATTTTATCAGTTTTAAAAAATGAAATCAGGAGTAGGATCAAGAATTCTTAATTTTTTTTTCTGTTTTCCTGCATTTTGCTTTGCAGTATAAGCAGATGCTGGTACACTATCCATCCCCCCAGTCTCTCCTCTCCCAAAAAAATGGCTATGGGGGATTTTTAGCTTTAGGTGAAAAATTGGTGAGGTAATTTTAATATCCAGCTCTTACATTATATTGGTAATATTTGAATAAAATCAACCACAGATAAGGTGTATATTCTTTAACATCTTACAGTTACCAAAAACTTAGTTTTTCAGAAGCTATTGTCTGGATATCTGAGTGAAAACATAAGATATGAACAGGTAGCAAAACTTGCTATTTAACCTGGATCAAGTCACTTCATTCCTCATACACTGTCAAATAAAAAGAGCTAACCTTTGTGGATAGAATTATTATAACTCACTTTTCCCAAGACAGCCCCAGTTTATGCCTGTTTCCAACATAATTATGAATAGTTCCATTTTACTCTATGAGTATATATATGAGAATAATTCATACAGTCATTCTGTTCATGGAGTACTTCTTATTCACCAGCCACTGTATTCTTTTTTTAATTGGGGTATAATTGCTTTGCACAGCCACTATACTTTTAGTTTCTGTTTCATGTGATCCTTAAAGCAACTCTATGAGATATATAAATATCTTTATTATCCTCAATAAGCATTTTATAAATGTTAACTCAATTAATTAATCTTCATAAAAATACTACGGAGGAATGCTAACTACTTCCCTTTTTTACATGGGGAACTGAGGCATGTACTAAGTCTTTTTCTTCATAACAGTCACCAGTTTTTGCCAGCCTTATCTCCTAAATACTTCTCAGATTATCCACTCAGCCATCTCTGATGCAGCTGTCCTCGGCCTCTTTCAGTTTGTTGCCAGGGTTTTGTAAAAGGGTCTCCTGGCTATCAGTTTTTCCTCCCTCAAATCTGTTCTCCACCCAGTTGCCAGAATGATCTAATGTCCAGATCTACCCTTTTACGTCCCCTGCAGAACTGAGTCCAGATTCCCAGGTCCAGCCTCCTCTTCCATGTGGTTCTTCCCCATGTACTGTAGCAGTAAGCATAGTAATGTGTTTCCAGCTGGACATACCATAATATTTCACACCTCTGTAGCTTTGCTTATGATTTTCACTCTGCCCCAGTGCCTCCTTATCCTTTTATGTCAGCCTGTCACCTGCTTACCCGTTTAATGTGTCATTTTCTCCAGGAAGCCGTAACCTCACCATTCCAGTTTCCTCTGTGCCCTCAGGTTGTGTATATGGCCCTCCTCTGTGCTTTTCTAGCACCCAGAGCCTAGCTCTGTCATTTCATACATTATATGTAAATAGCCTGTGTATATGTCTGTCTCTTCCCTGTCTCGATGCTGTATTTGTTCGCTTTTATACCCCCAGCCTCTAGCACAGTACGCAATACACACAGGTGTTTCAGTAAGTGTTTTTGACCACAAGAAAACCAGAGCTTCAAATTCCTAATACTTAATCACAACTTCCAATTTTTCCAGGTAATGTCAAAGTTCCTAAGTTCTTAGCTATTAAGTAGTATTTTCTTAGCTTAAGAAAAGAAAAATCTGACAAACGCTGAGTGCTTTAAACTGGAGCTTAGTATGGTCGAACTCAGTTTGAATTTCTTTCTGGCACTGCTAAGAATAAGAGCAGAATGAAATGTCCTAAATTTAAATACATGGTTATATTTAAATTTATACCCTAACCCCAGCCCTAACCTGTTTTCGGCAAGAACATCATGCTGCAGATCTCTAAGAACATACTGTTATTTGACACACCAGAATGTCAGCTAGCATCTGAGGAGAATGTGAGTGCCTGAGAGCAGGCACTCGGAAGGTTTTTCGGTTGTTGCTGTTACTGTGTCCCCAGTGCCGTGGACAGTGCCTGGCTCATAATAGGTGCTTGAGAAATACTTGTTAAAAAAATTAGCAAATCCAAGATCAGTTGCTGCACACGCCCTTCCTTGAAGAAAAATGTTTTACTTGGTATGAAAACTGAGCCTTTACGATTCTGTCAACACTGACATTTTGGTTTGTGTTTAGGCGCTTGCTGCTGGAGGAGTGGGGTCCATCGTTCGAGTCTTGACTGCAAGGAAAACCGTGTAGTCCGGCGGGAACTGGATTTCTCCCATGGGGTGGGAGTTGCTGGTACCAAGACCAAAACAACCAAATGCCACCGCTGTCCCCGCAGGCAGCATCTGTTCCTCTCAGCTTTGCCTTCTTGCTTCCTTTTCATATCTATACAGAAGAAAATTACATACATATCAGTTTGCCCTAAATGAAAATTGGGATGAGATAAAAAGGATTTCAACAGGAGTGTGTCATGATCTCAGAATGATTTCAGTGCCGTGGATACCAGTCTGTACATAGCATAATTTACACTCAACTTTAATTGTGCAGTTGTTTCCCTGTTGGCTGGGTTTTCCTCTGTTTGTTGTTTGTTTTTGGGAGGGGTTTTTTGGCTTTGACTAATAGTGAGAAATTTGATCAGAATTGGAGGCCAGTTTCTTAACTCATTGCTAGCCAGGAAATGATCTATATATATTTTAAAAAAAAATGTTTGAGAGACTGTCAGCTATTAACATTGCAAAACTGGACCAAACTTCCCTTATTTAAACGAAATGTGTTTCTGGAACAAGTGGTGGCTGAACACCATGACCAAGTCCAGCTGTGTTTCTGCTTCCCTCCAAGTGATGTGCGTTTAAGTCATCTTCTTCCTCTCCGCATCCAGTAATCGTGGCCTCTTGATTTCTGTGTGGTCACCCAGGGTACAGAGCAACGAATCTTGCTCTACACAAATGTATCTATAAAATGCCAGAGCCTGTTTGGCACGAGCATAAACTTTGTTTTCCAATAATATGACCCTATTTGGGGAAACTACTCCCAATCAGAAAAGATGTGGAAACTATGATGTAGTTCAAACTCTTGGGCAGCCTCTGAATGAAGAGATATTTTCTTTAAACTTACAGTAGCTGCCTTTGACATCATGAGGTATATAACTAGTATTTAATATGTCCTATAAATGTCTTCTTCAGTGTTCTTCAGGGTAATTGGGACCTCAGAGGATTTGGTTCAGATCCAAACACACACACATTCTGTATTTTAGGTCAGTGTTTTTTTAAAAAAACAAAATACCACACATCGAAAAGTGTTTACTTTGTTGGACAAACCAAATGGATTCTCAAAAAATGACCGGTGCTTATGAAAAATTATTATTATTCAGTAGCTCTAAAACAAACCACCTGAATGCTTATGACCAAGCAGGAAATCAGAGTATATCTAGTATTTACATCTGACACCAGTTTCATAACCACTGACCTGTGTGAAAACTGGTGCAGAAATTCTGTAAACTCTTTGCTGTTTTTGATACCTGCTTTTTGTTCTGTTTTGTAAAAATGATAATCTTCAGAAAATAAATTGTCGTGTTGAATAATTTATTTTTGTCTTACTTTAATACTTATGAAGGCATAGTTAATGAAGAGGAAAGATTTCCTTTTTTACCACCAGGTTATTACACTCTTTGACAAAAACTAATTTTGCATAGAAGGTTTATATGACTACCTTATTCAAATATTAGATAGTAGAGAAGAGGAGAAAATTATTAATAAATGTTAATGAAGTGATTATTATAATCGCTCACTCTGGAGTGATTCCATAGCTGTCTGGAAGCCTGATGAACACCACTCCCAGCTCCCAAGCTCTTTCTTACACCAATCATCTACTGTCTTTAGCTACTCAAGGCATTCTCTCTTTTACCACTGCACCTGACTAGATTCCTACATCAAAGATTTAGAAATTTACAAGCAGTTCAGAGGGCAATGAGTAAGAGACACTAAACTATAGATAATACAGGTGGTCAAATAGGTATAACAACCACATACAAACTTTAAATGAAAACAAGTGATATTGCAACAGTGGTGGTTTAGTTACTAAGTCGTGTCCGACTCTTGCAATCCCATGGACTTGGAACCTGCCAGGCTTCTCTGTCCATGGGATTCTCCAGGCAAGAATACTGGAGTGGGTTGCCATTTCCTTCTCCAGGGGATCTTCCCAACCTAGGAACCGAACCTAGTTCTCCTGCCTTGCAGGCAGGTTCTTTACCGACTGAGCTACAAGGGAAGTCCAGATTACAATACTTTTTCATAAAATCCTTAACATCTCTTTCATGACTATAGTGTTGGAGGAAATTCCAGAGTTACCTATTTTATAGTCATAAGAATGATTGTACTCAAAATTTGCCAAGACCTTTTCTCAGGAGAGAGAAACTATGTAGCAAATAGAACAGCATAGGTATGGAGTCAGAATGCATGCCAGCTGGAAACAAGTGGCTCAACTGATGCGTCTCAGCTAGACATCAGCCCGAGTGATGCTGACAATGACAAAGCACCATCTTGAAAAGTGAGAGGTAATATGAATTGTGGGAAAAAGATGAATGCTAAGGGGCACTCTGAGCACCTATGCCCTTGTACTTCAATCTCGGTGGTTTAACTATTTTTCTGTGTTTTGTCTTTGCCACTTTTAAAGGGGGGAAAAAATGGCACACAGATCCTTTGTTGGGGCTTCCCTGGTGGCTCAGTGGTAGAGAATCGACCTGCCAGTGCAGGAGACACAGGTTCAGTCAGTGGGTCGGCAAGATGCCTGAAGAAGGAAATGGCAACCTACTCCCATATTCTTGCATGGAAAACCATGGACAGAGGAGCCTGGTGGGCTGCAGTCCATGGGGTCACAAGAGAGTCAGACACAACTTAGTGACTCAACAACAAGAACCGTTTGTTAGTTGTACAGTAACATCACTGTTTAGGTAATAGTCACACTTTATCTTAAGTATGATGATGTGTTAGAGGAATCCATCAACACACAGGTGAAATCCATCTGGAGATGGGACAAATTAACAGTCTTTTTAATGCACCATGTTCCCCAGGATCACAAAGGACATAGTGGAAGAGTAACATCTGGATCTTGCTCACAAGTTGCTTTCGGCCTCATTGGAAAGTAAGATTTAAGCATTCTAAAGTGAATGTCATATAATTTAGTATTATGCCCCTTAGCTATTGATCTCAAGGAGGGCTAGCACCTGTCTTTCTGGAAGGACCAGCTGGGAAAACTGCCTGTCCCACCCCAAACAAAGGCAAGAAGACATGAAAGCAAAATGGTCTTTGGGGTCCCTTCCCTCCAGCTTTAGGGGGTTTCCCTGATAGCTCAGTTGGTAAAGAATCCGCGTACAATGCAGGAGACCCCAGTTCGACTCGTGGGTCAGGAAGATCTGCTGGAGAAGGGATAGGCTACCCACTCCAGTTTTCTTGGGCTTCCCTTGTGGCTCAGCTGGTAAAGAATCCGCCTGCAATGCGGGAGACCTGGGTTGGGAAGATTCCCCTGGCGAAGGGAAAGGCTACCCACTACTGTATTCTGGCCTGGAGAATTCCATGGACTGTATAGTCCATGGGGTCACAAAGAGTTGGATGTGACTGAGCGACTTTCACTCACTCCCTCCAGCAGGAGATGCTGTCCCTGACATCATCCTTCTATTACTCACTGCCTGAACAAACTCTTCTGGGTCTGCTGCTTCCTCTAGAAGTGTGCTGCGTGCCCGCTGGGCCAAAGCTTCCCAAAGAGGTGTCTGTTCATCCCTAGGGCTTCTGCAAATGTGTTCTTGGGCACCTGCCGGTTCTGAAGAAGATTTTAAAATGTGTCCCTGGGGACTTCCAGCTGTCCAGTGGCTAAGACACCATGCTGCCAATGTGGGGGGCCCTGCTTCGATCCCTGGTCAAGAAGCTATATCCCACATGACACAACTAAGAGTTTGCTTGCCCCAACTACAAAGATCCCACATGCAGCACCTACGAGATCCTGTGTGCTGCAATGACGATCTAAGGCATGGCACAGCCAAATAAATTTTTTTTTAATTTAAAGACAATTTTTTAAAAATTAAAAACTTAAAATTAAAAACTTTAATTAAAATTAAAAACGGGTCCTCATTTCTTGGTGCTCCGGTTTTCTCACCTTTTAGAAAATGGGGAGGTAATAATAGTGTTGTAGGAATTACAGAAAGCATTTAGTGCCTTCACATGTTTGGTTGAACCATATGAAACTGCTATCTTTGTAGGGCAAGATGATGGAATAGTGGCAATTTCATAATTTTCAAGCCTATACTAAGTGTTCAATAAGTGTTACTTTTTCTTCCTTTATTTAATTTGAATGTATTATTTGGTAATTTTTGTTTTGCTTTTAAATCTATGACACGAGCTTTAAAGGAGCTTCATCTTAGTTTTCTATCTGCGTATATGTGAGTAGCAGTATAATTATTATAATAAGGATTAATTAGTTGACAGGGTAAGAGAGGTTCTGTCTGTGAGCCTTTTTCTCTTTAGAGGAGAAAACATTTTTCAAGTTTGAGAGATCCTACCCTAGACCTTTCCCAGTCTGCCTCATTTAATTCACCTGCCCTGTGTTTTCATCCTCACATCAGGATGCTAATCTTAGTTTGGGGTCAGTTAGAAAATCTGACAAGCAAGCTGGGCTTTTGATTTCTCCCAGTAGAACATGACACTGGGAAGACCTTTCATGCCTCCTTTGCAGACTGGAGAGCAGACAGTTCTGAGCCAGCGTCTTGATTCAAGTGAGTAACCAGATACCTTGCTTGATCACTAGGGGCTGATGTTAAGAATTTTATTAGCCAGCAGGCATATGCTAAGTCTGGCTCAAAGTGCTTTAAGTGTATTATCTCCTTTAGTCCTCGTAAGAGCCCTATGACATAGGTGGTGTGATTTCCCCCATGTTGCAGATGAGGAAACTGAGGTATGGAGCTGCCCATGGTCAATCAGCTCTCAGGAATTCTAACCTGGGCTGGCTCCAGAACCTGTGCCCTTGGCGACTGCTCCACAGTCTGTCCAGGCATTATCCGTTTGTCCTGAAAACAATCCTAGGCGATAGGTAAAGGGGCTGGGGTCTTCCCAGCTCTGGAGCAGGCTCTTAACCCTCATCACCCTGCCTGCTCTGCTCCCCGGGGCCCAGTCAGCCCTGTGGGCTGTGTCCATGCGACTCCCTGCAGACTGGCTCCTTTCCAGCCCCAGTGCCTCGGCCCCTCCTTGGGGTGACGTTGTTTATCTGACCCTTCTTAAAATAGTTAAAAAGCGCCTGTGAATTCTCTTGACTTGAATTGCCCCTTGCCCTAGGGGTGCACTAGCATTCTTTCCCCACTGAGTGGTCCTTGGAGAGCTGCCCCCAGGCAGCGCGGGGGGGCCAGCTGAGAAGGATGGAGTTGCTTGGTTGGTTGGTGGTTTTCTCCTGCTCTAATACCACTTCCCCAATTTTGAGAAGGCCTGCCTTCGTGAATATGCTGGATTTCCTCTTTTTCTTTTTCTTCTTTTTCCTGTATTTTTTTCTGTATTTTTGTTTATTAACCTAATCCTCTGAGAGAAAAGGCAAGAATATTATTAGGAGTAGTAAAAGTGGTGGGTTTTTTTTTTTTTTTACAGTACTATGGCCAGAGGTGACTGATCCAGATTTCTAGGGAAGAGCTCTCTTTAAGGAAAAGAATATATGAATTACAATCCTAAGATTGAAATAGGGTCTTGGCAGGGGCACATGCAGTCAGGGACCCTGAGGCTTACCCTTCACTACACGATAAATTCATCTCTGGCTGTGACATGTGGGAATTTAAACATCTTTTGTTTTCTCCAATTCCTCTTATTTCCAGTGCCCTGTTACTGGTATACAGTATTTGTAGATGCACTGAATCTGTATTGAATCTGAAGTAGCAAGATCAGGGTGGATTGGAATAAAGGGAGACAGATCAGTTTGAACTTGGCCTTGCATGGGCAGAAGGGGCAGGTCCAACTGAAATGGAAGGAGTAGAAAGATAAGAAAGTTGAAGTAGGTTTCACTGTTGCTGTTGTATGGTTTTAATGTTTTAACATAATGTTATAGACTATGAAATTTATTTATTAAGAGGATTAGGTTTTGGTAAAGTACTTCCATATTGCTGCTGCTGCTGCTAAGTCACTTCAGTCGTGTCCAACTCTGTATGACCCCATACACAGCAGCCCACCAGGTTCCCCCATCCCTGGGACTCCCCAGGCAAGAACACTGGAGTGGGTTGCCAGTTCCTTCTCCAATGCATGAAAGTGAAAAGTGAAAGTGAATTTGCTCAGCTGAGTCCGACTCTTCATGACCCCATGGACTGCAGCCTACCAGGCTCCTCCGTCCATGGGATTTTCCAGGCAAGAGTACCGGAGTGGGTTGCCATTGCCTTCTCCATGAGGCATTCAAAAAAGTCACGAGCCTTTAAAAAAAAATGATTTTAGCTGAAATAGACATTGATGGTCACTCAGTCTTACCCTCCCCCCTTTATTTAAATTTAAATTATCTATTTTTGGCTGCGCGGGGTCTTGATTGCTGTGTGCAGGCTTGCTCCAGTTGCAGCAAGCGGGGGCTTCTC